CATGGGGGTACTATGTGACATTGAACTTTCGTTGGACAGCAGCAAATTGTTCTTCACCAGCGATTCCTCGCTCAGTGGATGTGTGAAACAAAGGAGATGCCCCATAGAGTACGAGACACTGATCGTAGTGATTACTAATCGTGCTACTTTGAGGCATTTCTAGGACATCACCACCGTGTGCGTTTGAATGGCCGGAAAGAGATGTGTCCCCCTCAGAAAAATCGTTCAAGTCGGATTCAGAATCACATGGGGAATCAGGCCTAGACCATAACTCAACGCACAAGGGATAATCACGAACATTGCTATGATTCAGTTTCAATCGAATGTAAGAATCAAGGGTAGAGTCATCATGAACAAAGGTACGCGGCTGTGTAGAATTGGTCGTGTATGACAATATAAATTCTGAATTTTCAGCATATGACGGTACGGTCAATCAGATTAAGGGGAGAAGATCATCATACGTAGACCCCCAGTAGACATTAATTTCATAGAACCCCTTACAGTTGAATTCCAACGTATCAGACCATACACCATCAAAATTCAGGAGAACACAAACATACCTTCCCTGCGGGGTCAACGACTGAGAAACTGCTTGCAATAAAGAAGAGAACATGATCTTCCTTCAGGCGGTGAAAGCGGTGAGAAGAGGGTACGAAAAAATGGAAAAAGAAAAGAACCGCTATGCAGAAGATGACGGAAGTGCGGCTAGGGCAAAAGATGACAGACGTGCGTATAATGGGTTGTGGGGTTTTACTTCCTATTTTTTTTGGAGATAATCATGGGTGATTGAGTTTTTTACATGGAAATAAAGACTAAAAAAGGGGGTGGGAATGGCGAGAAGGACAAATAGGTCCGACTAAATAAAAAAAAGTGCCATTTAGGGAAAAAAAGATGTTGGTGCTATACACAAAAGTTGCCTATGTTTGAGTGCTATATGGAGCACAAATTTCATTTTTTTTACGAAGAACACCAACATTCGTGGGTATGGGATGCAAATTTGTTGTGGGATAGGGAGAATGACGAGGTGATGTCAGGCGGGTTTGGCATGCGATATTATTATTACTCCCTCCGTCCTGGAGTATTCGTCCAGTTTTGACTTTTGGAACTGTTCATCTAAGCACTTTGACTCATCAAATTCTCTCAATATGTAAGCCTAAATATAGTCATGTGTGATCTTGTTTGATTTGTCTTAACATATAGATTATTAATATATATTTTTTATATTTTTTAATATACAAATTACAAGATAAAATGGATTAAAGAAGTGTATTGGATGGTGTGTAAAAATGAAAGTGGACAAATACTCTAGGACGGAGGCAGTATTATTATACTCCCTCCGTCCCAAAAAATCCGACACGTTTCGAAAAAACTGCGTCCCATAAAGTTCATTACATTTCTATTAAAAAACCAGTTTTATCCCTTACTTTTTCATACCCTACCTATCACATCATACCTTTTTCCTAATAATCTACCAATCACATCCTACTTTTACCCATAAGGATATTTCTAGAAAGTCAACACCAAAATATCCCTCCCTTAATTTCCCAAAAAGTCAATATGTACCAATCTTTTTGGGACGGAGAGAGTATTTTTTTATAATATCATAGAGAATGTTTTTTAATAAATGGGAGAAAGACCAAAGTAGGACTGAAATATTGAAAATATATCGAAATTAATAGGACTTCCATGTTTTTATTTCTGAAATAGGACTTACATTACCGGACATGGTAATGTACATTACCAAAAAAGTATAGTAATTTGCACATGTACAATGTCGTACTATTACAGTGCCAAGTCCTATTTCGAAAAAAAAGACATGAAAGAGTAAGGGAGAAAGACCAAAGTAGGACTAAAACATTGAAGATATACCACAATAGGACTTCCATGTTTTTATTCCCGAAATAGGACTTACATTACCAAACATGGTCATATACATTAACAAGAAAGTACAGTAATTTGCACATGTACACTGCCACATTACCACAATGCAAAGTCACATTACCACAATGCAAAGTCCTATTCCGAGAAAAAAAACATGAAAGTCCTATTTTGGTACTTTTCTCCATGTTTTAGTCCTATTTAGGATGATTTCTAAAATTCTAATTTTGGTACTTTTCTTTATGTTTTAATAAAACTAAGCCAAATTTTATTTTGAAATTAGGACAGAAGATAATATTTTTTCACTTAGATCAGATAAGATGTTTAATGTACTCGTTTTTCAAAAGTACGTTCTCTAGAAGTTCCGAGAATTCAGGTCATTTGTCTCCCATTTTAAGATTCGCTGTATTGACTAAGGCCCCGTTCCGTTCAACTTATTTTTTCTTATTTTTTCTTATTCTTATTAAAATCAAATCAGATCAGATCAGATCAGACTAGATCAGATCAGATTAGATCGAATCAGATCAGATCAGATCAGATCAGATCCAATCAGATCAGATCAGATCAGATCCAATCAGATCAGATCAGATCCAATCAGATCAGATCAGATTTAATCAGATCAGATCAGATTTAATCAGATCAGATCAGATCCAATCAGATCAGATCAGATCCAATCAGATCAGATCAGATCCAATCAGATCAGATCAGATCCAATCAGATCAGATCAGATCAGGACTTATTAAAATCAGATCCCATCAAGAATTATTATTATTATTATTATTATTATTATTATTATTATTATTATTATCATTATCATTATTATTATCATCATCATCATCATCATCATCATCATCATCATTATTACATTGTCAATCTAATTCTACTTTTAAAATATATTTTTATTGCTACTTGTAATTTGAGTTTCTAAACTTTTGATCTTTTATAAGGATGAGATATTTTAATAAAAATACTATCTCTTCTATATATTGATTATCAAAATTTAATTATTTTTTAATGTATATCTAAATTAAATATTTATTCTAATGTATAATTCTAATTTTACAAAAAAATAATCATAAAATAAAAATATTATTACATTATAATATGAATGATTATTCTAATATATGAATAGACTATTTTTATTTTATTAAAAAAATAATCATTAAATAAAAAATGTTGATTATATTATAATATGAATTAGAGTAAATTCCATAATTGGTCCTTTATAACA